AATGCGCACTATTAACGATTACTATAATATGATTTTTAAAAAAATGTATAACTATACCTGTACAGGCCGAGTACGAATAATAGTAAGTCGTGGACTCGGTCACCAAAATGTAATAACTAAAAGTCTGAGTGTTTATGATATGATTAGGACGCCCGGTGATTTATGTAAATGAGTAGTGATGAAAATAGCTCGATCGGCAGTGGACGGGGTCGCCGAGCAAATACTGATGAGCTACGTAATGATGTGTGTGTGTTATATGTGTATGCGTGTATGTGTTTGTGTGTAAATAATAAATGGTAACAATGGTTGCTGGTAACTAACTAGTTGATGTATAGTACAAATCTAAATAATAATGATACAAATATATAAAAAATCACACCAACACAGTAGGTATAAAAATATAATATAAATAATAAATCAAAGCCCTTATGGCTATAATGGTATGACGGGTAACTTTTGTATAATAAATTTATAAAATAATCAAATGACCAAAAAGTGGCATTAGCAGCCTTCTGGCTTGCTATACAATAATAATAATAAGTGTATGTAGATAATATTGACCCTGCTGGTCGAACAAGTAAAAAATAATATTTAATAATATGTGTGGTGATTTAAATAAATCACAGTGACACAAAAATTGGAAATGCAAAAATAACAGATAATAATGATGATAATTGATAATGATGTGTTTGTAATGTGCGTGTGTACGTGTGAGAGCGCCCTAATTCTTATGTATAAATGTATAGTAAATGGTAATAATAATATGTTGCGGCAGCAACAATACCTATTATTGATTGTTGTTTAGAAAAATAAGTATTAAAGATATTATTAAAAAAAAAAAATTAATACAATTAAAGTTTGATATCCTTGCTTATTTTAAATTTTTTTTAAATTTTTGTTGCGTCTTTAAAATATATGAATTGAACCAAGTCGTTAATGTAAAATGTATACACAGGTAATAAATTTAGAGCAAATAGACTGCAGTCGAAGAAAACATACCTTTTTTTGTTTTTGAGCAAATAGGCTGTATCCAAATTTAATATTTTTTTACGCAAATGAGTGATTCCCGACGTATTACGTACAAATTACAATATTTTCATTACTGTCGAACATTTAACGAATCAATAGTGAGCGAATGTGGTACTTCATTAAACATGATTTAGTGGTATTCAAGTAAACTGACAATACATCTCTAGAATACAATGAATAACCAATTGCATAAGCTAATGTTAGTAAAATACACAGAGAAAATAATAATGCACAATATAAGATAATAATAAATAGACGGAAAACTCACGACACCGTGGTAATGAAGATGACGCGACCAAGTTATGATGTGAGCTGGCGGAAGACGGCGCATGACATTGAGACTGAGATGACGACTTGATGACCGCGAAACCAACAAAATGAATAGGTATGTACGCCGTACGGTATGAAGTTTGCATGCATGCACGACCAATAGACAAACAACACTTATAATCAGAGGAGGAACTAGGGGAGTGAAGATGGGGATTGCTCCCCGGGAGTAATTTTTATATGTGCCTATAGTTAGTGTTAGGTGTTAGAAGTTAAAACACTATTTTTATTTCGCATCGGGTGATGGAAAGAAAATGAAAAATATTAAATCACATAAGTACAGCATGAAATAATAATCGTCGTTATTTGATTAATTACTATAAGCCGGGTAGCGAAAATAGAACAAATTACCACAATAATAAATCATAAATGCAGTATTTTGTCTTTTGTCATTTTTCATTGTATGACGTATGTCATTTGTGATTTGTGAACTGTAATGAATAAACTGTAATGTCATTTGGTTATCCAGGTATCAGTCAAAATGTCAAAAACATTAAGATCATGCATAGATTCACATAGGTAATATATGGACATACTATAATTGTTGAGGTTCTGAACAAAGGCAGACATGTATTGATGCTGTGTTTTCGTTAAAATGTCTGATTCACAATAACTTTAATGACTTATCAAAATATTTCAATGAACGGTGTATCAATGATTGTATACATAATATTATACATTATATGCACAAATAATTAGGTAGGTATTTAAGTACCTACTTAAGTCTACAAAGAAGTTTAACAAGGGATAGTTTTACTTTAACATAAAATCCTATACACGGCATTTTAATATAATTGGAACTTCAATACTTAAAATAATTTATACCTAGTTGATACAATATTGAAATATTATTTTTTTATGTTTTAACCAAAATGCCTAAAATTGGACGTATTTTTAGAATTTCCCCCACGCGTAAATGATCCTAGTTGCTTCTCTGCTTATAATAATATAGTGCTTATGGCTTGAGTCTATATAAGTAAGTGTTTATAATAATTACGAGACCGTTCTTATGAGCAAAGCGAAGTTGGCATGCATACAACGTCCGGTAGGTACGCATAAACATACACACTGTTCGTATGTGGGCACTTATAAATCGCGCTCACATTGAGCAGGTCGTAAAAATACTATGATAAATTGCACCCAGGAAATTGTGGTTTCTAAAATAGGTATAGTAAATTGCACCTTTAGTATCTAAATTACCTTGAATTTATCGGTATCTATTGTATATATTAATACTGTTGTTCATTTATTGTCGGATAAGCCTTATAATATATAATATAACTTAAAATCATATTAACTCTATATTATTATACAATTTACCAGATTTTTTTATTATTTGGATTAAAGCTTCAACCACTAAAGTCATTAGCCTGGTACAGTGAGGGAGGAACGATTGGTTGGAACAAGTTTTGTATGTGTTTCAGGGATTTGTTGTTAAAAATGCTGGTGGTCACCCATCCGAGTGCTTACGACGACGGCCCGCGCGGTACGTACGCTCAGAGCGCCGCCGCAGATTTAGCGTACGACCATGCCTCACCAAGCCACTTATTATTATTATTATTCTTTACTGCATAAAATAACATAAAAAAAAAGATTTAAAATAATTTATAAATCCTAAATTATTTTATTTTAAAACAAAATTAATTTTCTCCATTTTTATGAACTTATTTATTTATTTCAAGTAAACCACAAAATCATTTTTGGAGGACAGTGATTGTTGCCTCTCTTGGTGTCCTCTGCGGGCAATGCTAATTACAATTGACTATCGTAAAAAATTGGGCTATAGAAATAATCATATTTCTATTAACTACCTGTATAGAAATTTGTACCTGGAAAATATCAGACGCGATTTACAATTTTTTCCCTTCGTTGGGCACAATTTACGTCTGTCCGTTCGGGTGAAACCGTGTAGGTACATTTTAGTTGACCGTCGTTAATCGGCTTGGATATAAGACGTAATGGGCGGTCTACGGCATCACAACCTATATAATAAATTACACCAATGCACGTGCAACATTTATGAAACAGTATAAAAAAGAAAATATTAAAAAAAATTTTTAAAAAATCATACAACTTTGGTGTTGCTGCACGAGTTATTATTTACCACTGCTGATATGCAAGTGTGCCGAAGAAATCTTATTTATTATTTTGTATTTTATGCCAGGTCACACGGTATCGAACCCTGGTCGATCTCGCCGTAATCGGTTTGTCGTGCGACTGCACTACGACTCGCGCCGTACCGGTGACTGGGATTATTGATTATATACATATTGTTAATTAATACATTATTTCCTATTATAGGCTCGTAAAATTAGAAGTGACAGTTTAACAAGTGTTTTTTCCCCTGTCTGTTAACACAGAGATGAGGTAAACTTGTCAATCAAAAACCAATTAGTATTTAAATAAACCTGTGCCCAAATCAGATGTATTTTACGCTTACCTAGAATACATTAGGACGAAATCGGAACACAGAAAAGGTAGGAAAAAAATCATATTTTATACCCGAGTCTGGAACGCAAACGGTGGTCTTTGTTTCCGTTTGGGTATAATTGTATTAATCAAAATCAAAATAATTTAATTGAAAATAGTACTTTACTGTCTTGGAAGATGCCTGTTAATAAAATGTATTGGCGAGTTTGCTCGTATTGATGATAACTATAACTGTCATTTTAATAAAAAGTAATAATTTGGACAGGTCGAAAAGTGTCGAGTGTGTTTATTTTGTATTGGCCAATATTCAATATCCTATATAGCGTGTGTTTGATGTATAATTATTTTATGTATATATATATATATATATATATAGGATGTAAAGAACGTCCCAATAAATAAATATTATTATATTATGATAGATACATGTTAGTCTTATAGGATAAAATTAATTTATATAGTTACAACAGTTCAAAAACAGTTGCCTGCCCAAGCTTACTCTTAAAGTTTAAAGCGGCCGGCCTTAATATTCTTATTTTTAAATTTGATGTTGGGGCAATTCACTGTAAGATTAAACGCGATAGAGTTTGATAAATTATTCAGAACTGACAATTTGCTATGTTGTGCATTTGTAAGACGGAGACAAGGTTAGATTGGTGTATGGTGTCCTCTCTGTCTACCTACGCCGCGCATTGGAGTTGAAGCTTGAAGCCGAAAAAACGGAGAGAAAAATGAAATGATACTATTATAATTGTACATCATCCGTCTTGGCTTCACGATTTCGGATCAACGCCGCATCAGCGATATTATGTTTAATATTTTTACAAAAAAAATTAAATATTTTACAAAATCGTACATAATGTCAAGATCTGTGTGTGGCGGCAAAGCGTTCGTATCTCACGACTCTATGCGCGTGACCCGCCGACGGACGCAAATCGTCCGATGCGACGTGCGGGGCGCGGGCACCCGTCGTCAGCGCGTGACCCGCCGGCGGACGTTGTCGTTTGGTGCGACGTGCGCGCACCCGTCGTCAGCGCGTGACCCGTCGGCGGACGTATGTCGTTTGGTGCGACGTGCGCGCACCCGTCGTCAGCGCGTGACCCGCCGGCGGACGTATGTCGTTTGGTGCGACGTGCGCGCACCCGTCGTCGCGGGCTAGTTTGTGGTTAAAGTCGAAAACATCACATGTGAACGAAAATATGAACTACGTCGTATTTCGGCGGGCATCAAGACGTCGCGCAGTGTGACCAAAACTGCCAACTGGCGCGTCGTTCGTCGTGAATGTTTAAAAATTGTGTCTACTTTTTGTTTTTAAAAAAAGTCTCCGGCAGAGTATTAGTTTTTAAACAATAATAATATTATCAATTAATATATTATTAAAATCGGTTTCAAAATGTTTCGTGACAATTCGTTGCTATAATATTATTTTTCGGCATTAACATCCGAGTACGGTGTACACTGGTTTTCCGTTGTAGAGACGCCGCCACCGACGCCGCCGGCGTTGTACGATTGTCGATTGTTGTAGAGATCGATTTTGTTTGGGCGTCATTATTACTGTCGAGGAATGCGCCTGTCGTGACGTCGTAGATCGTCCGTTTTTGTAAATCTCTTGTTGTTGCTTCAAGTGTGAACGTCGATTTCGAAACGTCCAGCGATTTTTCTGTTTCAGTCATAATATTATTGTACTGTGTTGCCGCACGGAACGCCATAAAAGTCGATCGAATTCGATTTCATTTGGAACTACTCAAGGTGTGTGTTTTGAATTGTTCACTATAGGTATGCTTACTGTATGATTAAAAAAAAATTCCTAAATTAACGTACTTAATTTAATTTTAAATCTTATAAACATCATAATCGTTTGTAGAACACTAGAATATCTTAAATATTTTAGTATTTTTCTATGTTTACTTCAACTTATTATTAATTCTATTGACTGTGATTTTATTATAGAAAAATGTCGACCGGTAAACAAGAGTCGAGCAAATTGCCATCTGCTGTCAATGGATCGGTAGTTCCAAGTTCTGAATTCATTCGTATACGTGTCATAACTAGCGACAGTTCCAACGAAGTACATTTCCGTTTAAAACCTGATGTGGCATTTGCTCGTATGAAAACGACATACTGTAAGAAACTTGGTCACTCCAATAAGGATGAGTTGCGTTTTGTATATGATGGTATACGTATCGCTGATAATGATACACCAAAATCGTTAGATATGATGGATGGTGATGTTGTTGAGATATATCAAGAAAGAACTGGAGGTGGTATGTAATGTTTGTGTACTTAGGTAATTGTTGATTGTTTTGATCGACAATTTTTTATTTTCAATCCTAATTCTTTATATATTGTAAATAAAACCTTTTTTTTTTTCGATTGATTCTCGTTCATCTACAAATGTAATTCATTTAAATGACCATCTAATATTATACAATATGTTATACTAAAGCTTGAAAAATATTTTATTTCAAATTATTACATTTATTGAATAATGTAAACTAAACAAATTCTGAAGATGTCATATTTTTTTATGTATTTAACATTATTAGGATTAATATTCGTAAGACTAATACATTTTTATAAATACATATGTTAAAAATCAATTAAATATTTAATTAAATTGTCCATAATATAATTTCTGTATCCAAAATACTAGTAACTTGCAAATAATGATCCACCTATTATAGATATAAGTAATACAATTCAAGTTCCTTTTTATGTATATTTTTTTTTCAATAGCTTATTCAATATCAGATAATTATTAATAATATTTTGTGTTTAATGTAAAAATCAATGTACCTGATAACTTTTTTTTTTACATCATAAAATAAAAAACTTTTATGCATACAACCATGGCTAATTTATAATTGCATATTCATATTGAAGTTTCAAGTTAAGGGATAGGAAGTACAAGATAGATAGCAGGTACAAATAATTACGTACGTAAATGCTAGACCAAACGGATGGGCTTAGGTTTAACGATTTTAATTTTGAAAACTAATTAGAAATCTTCAACTACGCTACTAAAACATGACCTTGGTAATTTATCATTATTACAAAAATTAATGGCGTACTTAAATATGTAAAATATCAACATTTTTATTTTTTAAACTGTCCGTATTTATAAATAAAATCCCTTCAGTAATCTCCTAACTAACACAATGACTAATTAATATCCATTAAATCCAATTCCTTCAATTTTATGTAGCTTTTTATAATTTTGTCATTTGAACAGCAGGGCGTATGTTTTGTAAAATCTACATCATTATAATATGTGTCTGAATGTGCAGACATTTATATGTGGGCGGCAGAGTTGTATCTAGATAATTATTCCAATAAGTATGTATTCAAATAAATAATTATTTTGATGATTTTCTTACAATTATTTGAATAATTTTCAACTACTTTTATTCGAATAACTATTTTTGAATTTTAGTCCTATAATTTTTGTTTGAATAATTGTAGTTGAAAATTATACAAATAATAATGTTTTAAAATTATTTGAATACATTTTTATTCAAATAAAAAAAAAATCATCCAAATAGTAATTTATTAAATAAAATGTTATCTAAATGGAATTGCATTCGAATAACGCCCTACTCTGGCAGGCGGTGAGCCATTGGTGCCCGGTGCTCGATAAAAAATTTTACGAATTACACACACTAATATTCATTTACTTATCACACTGTAACACAGCTCAAATGTAATGAAATATGAAATGCTTAAATATTACTCCTCTAAACACATCACGCTCCAGCCTCCTTAATAATAATAGTTATAGTAATATTTTACATTTTGGAAAAATCCTATATTGGGAAAAATTCTATTTTAGATCAATTTGGTTTATGGTATATTTGTTCCTATGTTTACCTACTCTGAGCATTTAATACAAAATGAGAAATGACAAGATTTGCTGTCATGAGTCTATACATTTTGTCTATAATATTTTATGCTTAAATAATTACGATGAGCGATGTTATGCCGATAATAATGGAGAGCAGAGATCTCTCCTAGTTCCTGGAATCGTATGTAAAAATATAATATTATGTTATAATATGTTTCAGTTAAGGTAGTTAATAATTTTTATATATCATAATTTAGAGTTAATTAATAATACAATTAGCAAAATGTTAGAAGATAACCATTTGGGGGGGGGGGGCTGACCCCTTTAACCTCTCCCTTGGTTAGTAATAATTTGTATGTGTTCGACAGCGATGACATGTTTTGATAAAAAGTGATAAAAGTACAAACTACTATACATAATTCAATTCTTTTGTTTTTCTGTGCTCAAATCACTCTGATGATTTAAAATCTATTGCCTTATTGTAAATAATGGTTGCTGAAATTTGGCAAATCTTGTTTTTAAGCATTTATTCCATACATTGTACACATTTTTAAAAATGATATCCATACGGACCATCTGAAATAACTAAGAGGGTAGCTGTTGTAGTAATAATTTAATAGTTGATACTCTAAAGCATATTTTTAAAAGACCTGCATTTTAATTTTTAAGAATCCAGACTGGCAGATTATTATGATAGCTGATGTAATTTTATTTTATCTGCTGTTAACAACATAATGTATTTTTAACATGAATTTGAATGTAATGATTAATCATTAAATAATAATTTTCCTCAGCTAATACAGAACTTACAGTCCATTATTTTTTTGACTGATACTTAGATTGTGATCTTACTGTTGGAAAAATTACTAAATAAATTTGAAAATATCCTTCATAAATTCATAGTTATATTTTCGAATTGCAGTTAATTAATATGACTATAAAATATATAAAATAAAATGTACAATACATGAAGATTTGCCTAGCATTTTGCGCACATTGTTTCCTTTAAATTTTCTTTTGAATAATTGACAGTACTAACTTATTGTTTTTGAAATAATAAACAACCTTTTTATTGTAAATTGTCAACCCGATAATTTTTTTTTATATAAAAAATAAAATGTTTTATGCATTAGTATTAATTAGTCATCACTTAAATTTTTAAATTAAATAGTTTATATTGTTTCAAACATATTATTCTTAGCACACAAAGTTAAATAACTCCAAAATTACTGGTTAATAATTTGGCTCAATTACATCAATATTTTCAAAATATGCATAAACAATTTACAGAGAATTATGGTGATTTACATTTGAATGCTTGGTTATTCTGAGTCAACATGATTAAACAATTTCAATGTTTTAGAAAAAAAGAAAAAGCAAATGAAAAAAGCGGGTAAGTGGATGTTGCTCTGCTGTACAGTAGGTTACACTCACTGAGTCACTGTAATTAATGGTGTTAAATTTGAATTTTATAATGTATTTTGATTATTTATAAATATTTTTAATTATTTTGAGCTATTTGTAAACATTTATAATTTTAAATTTGTTTTAGTTTTTTTTCTATCAATATCGATGAATAAATGTTTGTTTTGGCAAATGTTTGCTCTGTCAAAAATCTTGAACATTGAACTTCAAGTTCTTCATAAAGTGTTAGAATAGTTATTCATTATTTTATTCCCACGACACCAATATGTAGCGGAAATACTTAATATAATCCTAACATGTTCTATTTGTGTGATGAAAACAGGTAACGTAGTCCTGGATGCTGGTACACTGAAACAATATAAAGGGTTTGATTATCTATTCTATTTACTTCATACATGTTACTTTGTTAAATAATCAAAATAAAAATATAAATGTAATATATTGATATTTATGAAATAATAATTACATTTAATAAAATGACTCAAGTTATAAATGGTCTTGGTAAAATTAGCAGGCTTTGGTCAATATTTGGTGGTTTCGTGTTGTTAAAAAAATAGTCCTAATTGGATTAGGTTTGGTGTATACTTGTATATGTATCAAATATCAATCCTTTACTAAATAGGAAATGGTTTAAACCTCAAATTAAATTCCCTTTATAAAAAATCTAGTAAATATTTTTTAAATAATTTTTAAGTACATAATATTTTTTTATTATTGGAATACATAACATCTTATACCTTAATATTAAAAATGTATTTGTTATTTTCACCGAAATGTGATTGTATAATGTAATAAATTATTGAAGTTTTTAATTTATTTTAAATTTAAACTATGTACTTAAAAACTAGAAAATTAATGCAGTGGTTTTTTTTTGTTTTAAATACATTTTTGATGACAGTTTCTGGGTAAACATATTATGTGTTTTGCGGAGAGGGTTTCGGGGAAAATTTATTTTATGCAGATAAAAAGGTAACGAAAAGGTATAATGTACAACTACGGCAGTTTTTTTTTCCTTACAAATGATGGGTACATGAAAACTTCGGCAGTTCTAAGGCCTTGCTTAGTATTTTAAACTTAATAATAAATCTCAACCAAAAAAACTCAGTAATTCAAAATGAAAAATACAATGATAGTGTTAGAGAACGCTATAAATAGTTATAATTTTGGATTTATATTTGACTTAAGTACAGGAGGGTTGGGTTGAGACCGGGCGTAATTTTCTCACGTGCCCATGTTCAGTGTTTGGGTATTAGAACACTGTTTTTACTTCCCCTGAATTGCAAATAAAATAAATATTCTATCAAATTATATAATAGAATAATACCTTATAAAGAGTCTTACGACTAAGACCGCACTGAGAATTTAATATTATGTTTTGTGTTCTAATTCGGTTTTAAACAATTGGATTTTCCATTCTGTAATATTTGTACAAGAATCGAGAACACGTGTAAATCCTACACCGAATACGTTTATTAGTTATATTCTTATATTAGTAATATCGCCACACAATACACATCAACGAAACGAACATTGACAGATAAGTATAATATTGTAATTTGTAACAGTGGAGTGGGTCGGCCGAGGTATACATGTCATTAACGATGGCCTGGTAACAATTAAAGTATCGATGTTTATAATAATATAACAAATGCATTTAGACCTATGATTGCGTAAAATAAACATACTAATTTGAATTTTCTACGTTTTAATTTTTTTGTCTCGTTGGGCTTTTAATAAGTTCAATATTCATTTCGAGAAATTATGAAAATCTGTTTTGAACCATATTACAAAAAATTTTTATAATATCGAAAATCTACGTCCTAAAAAACTACTAGAATAGTAGATAACAAGTTTATATATTTTTTCAAAATTAAAATTGGACTACTGAAAGTATGTTAATTTATCGCCGGTTTATTGGTGTTGTTCATTGTCATAAGACATACATATTTTTGAGCGTGTCTACGACGACTAGTAAAGCGAAAAAAATCAAATATTTTGTAAGGACTGACATACGTATTTCAGATACTTTAAAAAAAATTACTCGGACAAAGTATTTTAAATACTTTCTCAAAGTATCTATACGTAGAATCGAATACTAGTTACAAATATTTATTGTTTTTAGTTTATAGTATGTACATTTTCATAATTTAATCGTAATAATAATTAAAAACTAAGTAGTCAAAGTCAAACTGTAATAATATTATAATAGTCAAAAAACATACAATTTTGCAAATTTGTAATAGGATTGAATTTCAAAAAGTATAGGTTAATATTATAGGGTATTCATAATATTAGTACATTTTCATAATTCAATCGTAATTAATCATAATAATATATATATATATATATTTATAATAATAATTGAAAATTCATTATACACTAAATATTCAAAGGCAAACTGATATTATAATAGTAAAAAAACATACGTTTTTACAAATTTGCAATCGGATTGGATTTTTAGAAAAA